GTCCATAATTTAGTGAGAAAATGTTTCACATTTCATGACAAAAATTACAAGCACATGACGAATATGTAAACAAAAATCACAAGATTCTAACAACTCGACGAAATAATCTGAAAATATCTACTTCATCTCCGTTTTATTTGTATGCTGGTTCCTTACGTTCAAATGTAGGCAGTATGTCGATGTGACGAAATGATGAATGATTTCCAAGCCTACATATTATACAAATTATATTTCGTTCAAAAGAATATGTAAATATAAATTCACATAATATAGAATAATTGGGTTCCTGTTTTAAAATGTATTTAGCAGGAAAAACACTCGGATGACAAACATATTGCGTCAAGACGTGTGAATCAAAAACAATCCATAAACTTAACAATCAACATCTAAAAAATAATCTTATAAAACAGTTTCATTTGTCAAAGTGACTGTTACCTGCGTTCAATGAGTATAGTTTCCATGTGAATGATTATTATTGAGGGCGTAGTCATATTTTTTCTTGCTATTTTATTTGAGTGATTTATTTAATAAAACTTCAACTATGAGATTGCAGGTATCGATTTAGATGTATCATGGATATATCATTTCTGTTCACTGTTCAGGGCTCGTACCACTAATTGGAACTCCATAGACGACAATGTTAACATATGAGGAGATCGCTATACTAAAATGATGATCTAAGTTGACAACATGGTTCAAAAATGGGAAATCAACATGACATAATCAACCACATGAACAAAAAACACGTAGGCCAGCTCAAACTCTAGCAAATCTCAGGTAAACAAGACGCACCTACTGTATTTGGATTGTACCTTGAAAAATCACTGGAAAAACGCCACATGTTAGTCTTACCTTTGACCCAGATGATGCACGCCCTCAAACAGGGCGCACCTGAGAAAAAAAATATTAAAAACATTTCATTGATTCTTGCAATGCATTTAAATGGTGATTGGTTGATTAGTTACATGAGACCTGTATTATCCAACATGCTTTGCGCGTAACGACGTGTGTCGTATTTCCGTTTGAAGCTTTACTCTATTTACAAAATCAAAATATTACCTAGTACAC